GGACCTGCCAATCCGCTCTTGGAGGCTGAATGAAAAATAACAAGAGTTGGAAGGGACCTGGGAGGTCATCTAGTCCAGGGCTTTTCAACCTTTTCACCCATGGTACCACTTTTAGGATATGGCAACATCTGAGTACCACCAGTCGCCTAGCAAAGTGTCAAAAACTTGATGACCAAAAAAAGGAAAAAAGTGATAAAGTACAGGTAGTCCTCGACTTACAACAGTTCGCTTAGTGACTGTTCGAAGTTACAATGGCACTGAAAAAAGTGCCCCCCCCAAGCCACAGCCGAGCAAGACACCTGCCTGCCCACCCGGCGGCGCTCTTCCTCCTGTCCGAGGTTTTCATTGTTGTGAGCATTTCTGTTGAGGATTGGCAGTGGGGATGGGGTGGGGGGTGTTTGGTTTTTATTCCCCCGTCTGCTGGGTGGTTGCAGCAGGTTTTGGTCACTTCACATGACCCTGGGACACTGTGACCGTCATAAATATGAATCAGTTGCCAAGCATCTGAATGTAAGTCACAAGACCCTGGAGACGCTGCAACATTCCAGCTGATCGACGCTTCTTCTGGGCTCAGCAGAAGTGCCAGGATCAGCGCCGAGCTCCAGCTGGAGCCTGGCACTGATCCTGGTGCTTCCGCTGAGCCCTGACAGCCCTGCAGCTCCAGCCATCTCTCGCTCAGGCTTGTGCGGTGCTGCCACCGGTTCAGCTCATTCCCCTCCCCCGCTACCCACTTTTCTAGGATGTTCGCATACCACCTGCCAGGTGCCAATGTACCACAGGTGGTACCCATACCACTGGTTGAAAAGCCCTGTATCTAGTCCAACCCCCTGCTCAGGCAGGAAACCCTATACCATTTCAGACAAATGGCTGTCCAGTCTCTTCTTAAAAACCTCCAGTGATGGAGCATTCACCGCTTCTGGAGGCAGGTCGTTCCACTGGTTAATTAACAGAATCACTGAGTTGGAAGGGACCTCGGAGGTCTTCTAGTCCAACCTCCCCCCCGCTCGAGCTGGAGACCCTACACCCTATCAGAGAAATGGCTGTCCAGTCCCTTCTTAAAAACCTGCAGTGTTGGAGCATGTTGGCAAAGTGGGCTGAAGCCAATTATTGGTAGTCCTTGACTTACAACCACTCGTTTAATAGCCGTTTGAAATTACAGCAGCACAGAAAAAGATGAATTATGACCGTTTGTCACACTTATGACCATTGCAGCATTCCCCACAGACATGTGATCAAAATATAGATACCAGGCAACTGACTCGTATTTATCCTGGTCGCAGTGTCCTGGGGGGGGGAGGGAAATCACGTGATCCCCATTTGCGACCTTCCCAACCGGCTTTCGACAAGCAAAGCCAAACGAGGGAAGCCAGATTTGCTTAGCAACTGCATGGTTCACTTAACAACCGCGGCGATTCACTTGACAGTGGTGGCAAGAAAAGATGGTAAAATGGGGCAAGGCTCACATGGCCAGTGCCTTGCTTAGCAACGGAAATTTGGGGGCTCCCTTGTGGTCGTACGTCCAGAACCACCGCATCCCAGCAGGATGGAGGAAAGAAGTACCAAAGGGAGATAAATTACTAGTAAAGGAGAATCTTTGTAGCTCAGGGTTGACATGAGGGGTCCTTGGTGCCCTCTGAACTTGGTGGTTTCCTTGCAGACGTTTCACGACCCAAACTAGGGAACATCACCAGTGCTAGAAGGAGAGAGGTTTGCAGAGAAGTGGAGGAGGAGGAGGAGGACTGTGGGGTCCTTGGTGCCCTCTGAACTTGGTGGTTTCCTTGCAGATGTCTCATGACCCAACTAGGTAACATCATCAATGCTAGAAGGAGAGAGGTTTGCAGAGAAGTGGAGGAGGAGGAGGACTGTGGGGTCCTTGGTGACCTCTGAATTTGGTGGTTTATTTGCAGATGTTTCACAACCCAAACTAGGTAACATCATCAGTGCTAGAAGGAGAGGGGGGGGAGAGAGACAGACAGACAGACAGGCAGAGATATGAGAGGTAGAGATAGAGATATGGAGATAGATAAAATAGACAGGATAGATGATGATGTAGATAGATAGATAGATAGGTAGGTAGGTAGGTAGGTAGGTAAGGTAGATAGATAGATAGATAGATAGATAGATAGATAGATAGATAGATAGATAGATAGATAGATAGATAGATAGATGATAGATAGATAGATAGATAGATAGATAGATAGATAGATAGATAGATAGATAGATAGATAGATAGATAGATAGATAGATAGATAGATAGATAGATAGATAGATAGACATTTCATGACCCAAACTAGGTAACATCATCAGTGCTAGAAGGAGAGGGGGGGGAGAGAGACAGACAGACAGACAGGCAGAGATATGAGAGGTAGAGATAGAGATATGGAGATAGATAAAATAGACAGGATAGATGATGATGTAGATAGATAGATAGATAGATAGATAGATAGATAGATAGATAGATAGATAGATAGATAGATAGATAGATAGATAGGTAGGTAGGTAGGTAGGTAGGTAGGTAGGTAGGTAGGTAAATAGATAGATAGATAGATAGATAGATAGATAGATAGATAGATAGATAGATAGATAGATAGATAGATAGATAGATAGATAGATAGATAGATAGATAGATAGATAGATAGACATTTCATGACCCAAACTAGGTAACATCATTAGTGCTAGAAGGAGAGGGCTTTGCAGAGAAGTAAAGGAGGAGGAGGAGGAGGAGGAAGAGGACTGTGGGGTCCTTGGTGCCCTCTGAACTTGGTGGTTTCCTTGCAGATGTTTCATGACCCACCTACGTGACATCATCAGTGCTAGAAGGGAGAGAGGTGTGGAGGAGGAGGAGGAGAATTGTGGGGTCCTTGGTCGCTCTGAATTTGGTGGTTTTCTTGCAGACGTTTCATGACCCAACTAGGTAACATCATCAGGGCGAGAAGAGAGTGGGGTTTGCTCTCAGTTTACACTCTGATGCCTTGCTTGGTCAGTGTTGGTGGGGGTGGTCTTAGAGGTACTTTGGTTGAGCTGTTTTGTGTTGGCTTTTTTGGCAGTTCCGTGATTGGGGCATTGTTTACCTCTTGAGTATTGGTCTGATGTTAATCTATGCCCCTCTGGGTATTGACTGCTGGTAGGGGAGTGTTTTGATCTTTTTTCCTCCCTTTTTGGCTTTTTAACTATTTAACTTGAACGGTATGTAGATGTGGTTTATCTCTTTGTGCCTGTTGATGGCTGCTTTGTCTTGAGTGCCAGGCTTCCAGGAATTCCCTAGCCTTTTTGGACTTGGCTTGGTCTGGGATGCTCGCGCCTTCCCGGTTCAAACTAGGGTCGAGTCTGTCCATAAATTGGGAAATTAAAAGGGTTTTCATCTTGTAAGAGTTTCCCCGCTCCTTACTCGCACTGATGACGTTACCTAGCTGGATAATGAAACGTCCGCAAGAAAACGAGCACCGAGGGGGACAAATTAACCGGGAATCCCGGGGGTCCCTTCCTCTCCTGCTCCCCTCTTCCCAAACCCCGGCTCTGACTTCCCTTTTTCTCTTCCTCGTCCTCCAGCAATGGTTCAACATGTACAAACCCATCACACTCAACACGGAGCGGCTGTCGGAAGTGGCTGACGCGTTCGTCAACAAGCTGGACCCCAATAAGGTTTTCCGCAGCAAGACCAAGATGCCCCCGGTGAAGAAGAGGTCGCCGTCCCAGCTGGCCCCCTCCCAGAAGAACCAGACGGCCGGAGGGTCCCCCCGGAACCCCTCGCAGGGCGGGAGCTTGTCAAGAAGACGGGAAACGCAGCCTTGAGCCTCCCTCTGGATTCTCCCCCCCACCCACCCATCCTAACCACACACACACACACCCCAGAAGTTGCCCAGCCTCTTAGCTCCACCTGGCTCCTTCTGCTTTGCAGGACTTGAATATTTATTGCCGAATATTTATTGCCACAGACTTGAAGCCCTGCCTGATTTTTTTTTTTGGGGGGGGCACACCTGCAACTCTTCCAAAAGACAAAAGGGTGGGGGGGAAAGGGGGTGTTTTTAAGGCACTCGTTCTCTTATCCTGGGTTTGCACGGAATTGTTCTCACACCTAGTGCCAGGCTAATTACTTGCTTCTTCCCCCCTGCTCTCCCTCCTTCCTTTTTTCTCTTCCATCCCTCCCTACCTCCTTCTATCCCTTCCTTTTTCCTTCTTCCTCTCTCCCTCCCCCTTCCTCATTTTCCTTCCTTCCGTGCTCTCTTTCTTTCTCTTCTTCCTTCTATCCATCCTCCCCCCTCCCCATCCTCTCTTTCTCAACTTCCTTCTCTCTCACCCTCCTTCCCTCCTTCCTTTTTCCCTTTTTCCCTCCCTCCCTCCTTCCTTCCTTTCTCCCTCCCCCTTCCTCCCCCTTCTTCCCTTTCTTTCTTTCCTTTGTTCCATCCTCCCTCCCTCCCTTTCTTTCCTTCTTCGCCCCTGCTTTCCTTCCTTCCTTTTTTCCCTTCCATCTCTCCCTACCTCCTTCCATCCCTTCCTTTTTCCTTCTTCCTCTCCCTCCCCTTCCTCATTTTCCTTCCTTCCATGCTCCCTCTCTTCCTTTCTTCCCTTCTTCCTTCTATCCATCCTCCCCCATCCCTCCCACCCTCTCTTTCTCAACTTCCTTCTCTCTCCCTCCTTCCTTCCTTCCTTTTTCCCTCCTTCCCTCCCTACCTCCTTCCTTCCTTTCTCCCTCCCCCTTCTTCCCTTCCTCTCCTTTCTTTCTTTCCTTCTTTCCATCCTCCCTCCCTCCCTTTCCTTCATTCCATCTTCCCTCCCTTTCTTTCCTTCTTTCCTTCCGTCTTCCCTTCCTCCCTCCCTTTCTTTCCTTCTTCGCCCCTGCTTTCCCTCCTTCCTTTTTTCCCTTCCATCTCTCCCTACCTCCTTCCATCCCTTCCTTTTTCCTTCTTCCTCTCTCCCTCCCCCTTCCTCATTTTCCTTCCTTCCATGCTCCCTCTCTTCCTTTCTTTCCCTTCTTCCTTCTATCCATCCTCCCCCCTTCCTCCCACCTTCTCTTTCTCACTCAACTTCCTTCTCTCTCACCCTCCCTCCTTCCTTCCTTTTTGCCTCCTTCCTTCCCTACCTCCTTACTTCCTTTCTCCCTCCCCCTTCCTCCCCCTTCTTTCTTTTTTCCTTCTTTCCATCCTCCCTCCCTTTTTTTCCTTCATTCCATCCTCTGTCTCTTTCTTTCCTTCTTTCCTTCCATCTTCCCTCCCTCCCTCCCTGCCTGGTAATACATCCCTGGTCTACTCGTAGGGCACCGTTCCCCAACCTGGCGCCCTTCAAAGCTCTTCAACTGCAACTCTCAAGAGTTGGTGGTCCAACCATATGGGATGAGAAGTTACAGAGGTTGCAGCCTGCTGGGGAAGATGGTCCCAGTAATGGAGAAAAGTCATCTCCTTCCTTCTAGGCCTGGGTTCCAAAGAAAAGGTGATGAATTTAGGAGGATCTCAGCTGGTTTCTGACCAGAAATGGACAGGGATAGATTCTCCTTGGAACATGGACGCCTATTCTTGTCTCCACCACTAATCTTAAACAGGTAGATTTATTTTTTCCAAGTCTCTTTCTCGGGTGTCCGTTGTCCTCCCTGATCAAAGCTGGTCTGCACGTCTTCTAGGACGGTGGACAGCTGTCTCCACGTTGAGCAAGAGGACCATTCCCTAATGCAGCCCCCATAGGAGCTGATCAGTTCCATCTTTCTCCTCCCTGTCTTCCCCAAAGGATCTCCTGTGTTCCTTGAGGACCAGGAAGAAAAGCATGTTCAGATGTTCAAAAAAATATAATCCTTTCAAAGCAGCCCTCTCCGGTCACATGGGAGACGTCAACTCGGCCTCTGGGTCTTGCTTTGAAGGTTCTGGATCTGAGGGAGAGCGATTGTGGAAGTCTATCAGGATGTTGTAGATGAACATCCCAACAAGGCATCCAAGGGTTGGGGCCACCAGCGGCACCCACCACCAGCAGTTGCCTGCTCTGAAAAAAAAAAGGAAGTCCAGATTAGCAGTAGACCCTAAGCCAGGATATCTCAACCTTGGCCACTTGGAGATAGGTGGACTTCAACTCCCAGAATTCCCCAGCCAGCTAGCTGGAGAATTCTGGGAGTTGTGAAGTTCACATAGGTCTCAACCTTAAAGTTACCATGTGTGTCTCAACCTTGGCCACTTGAAGGTGTGTGGACTTCAAATCCCAGAATTCCCCAGCCAGCATATCTAGCTGGAGAATTCTGGGAGTTGAAGTCCACACACTGAAATCCACACAGGTCTCAACCTTAAAGTCCACACGTGTGTCTCAACCTTGGCCACTTGAAGGTGTGTGGACTTCAACTCCCAGAATTCCCCAGCCAGCATGGCTAGTTGGGGAATTCTGGGAGTTGAAGTCCACACACTGAAATCCACACGGGTCTCAACCTTAAAATCTACACATGTGTCTCAACCTTGGCCACTTGAGGTTGTGTGGACTTCAATTCCCAGAATTCCCCAGCCAGCATGGCTAGCTGGAGAATTCTGGGAGTTGAAGTCCACACCTCTTCAAGCAGCCAAGGTCGAGACACACTGCCTTCAGCCATGACCTCTGCAGTATTGGTTAGCCTTCTTCTGCTCCAAAGTTAGATAACGTCATGGTTCCTAGCTGGCCCAGGGCATTGTGGGAATCCATTTTTAACCCTGTAATAAATTGGAAGGTTAGTTTGATCTGAAAAGTTGCCTGGACCCACAGAAGGTTGAGCCCTGCTCCTGGCAATTTTGTGGACATTTCTTTGTATATTTAACTTATTTATTTAAAAGATGTATATCTGACCAGCCACAGCAACTCTGATTATAAAACCTAGACCTATCAAACAATCAGAAAACAGTAAGAACAATAAAATAGGTTGCCAGTATTTTCTCTCAGGTTTATTTTTTTGTTTAAAAAAANCGCAGGGCGGGAGCTTGTCAAGAAGACGGGAAACGCAGCCTTGAGCCTCCCTCTGGATTCTCCCCCCCACCCACCCATCCTAACCACACACACACACACCCCAGAAGTTGCCCAGCCTCTTAGCTCCACCTGGCTCCTTCTGCTTTGCAGGACTTGAATATTTATTGCCGAATATTTATTGCCACAGATTTGAAGCCCTGCCTGATTTTTTTTTGTGGGGGGGGGGCACACCTGCAACTCTTTCAAAAGACAAAAGGATGGGGGGGAAAAGGGGGTGTTTTTAAGGCACTCGTTCTCTTATCCCGGATTTGCACGGAATTGTTCCCACACCTATCGCCAGGCTAATTACTTGCTTCTTCCCCCCTGCTCTCCCTCCTTCCTTTTTTCTCTTCCATCCCTCCCTACCTCCTTCTATCCCTTCCTTTTTCCTTCTTCCTCTCTCCCTCCCCTTCCTCATTTTCCTTCCTTCCATGCTCCCTCTCTTCCTTTCTTCCCCTTCTTCCTTCTATCCATCCTCCGCCTCCCTCCCACCCTCTCTTTCTCAACTTCCTTCTCTCTCACCCTCCTTCCTTTTTCCCTCCCTCCCTCCCTCCTTCCTTCCTTTCTCCCTCCCCCTTCCTCCCCCTTCTTCCCTTTCTTTCTTTCTTTCTTTCTTTCCTTTGTTCTATCCTTTCTTTCCTTCTTCCCCCGTGCTTTCCCTCCTTCGTTTTTTCCCTTCCATCTCTCCCTACCTCCTTCCATCCCTTCCTTTTTCCTTCTTCCTCTCTCCCTCCCCCTTCCTCATTTTCCTTCCTTCCATGCTCCCTCTCTTCCTTTCTTCCCCTTCTTCCTTCTATCCATCCTCCCCCATCCCTCCCACCCTCTCTTTCTCACTCAACTTCCTTCTCTCTCACCCTCCCTCCTTCCTTCCTTTTTGCCTCCTTCCTTCCCTACCTCCTTCCTTCCTTTCTCCCTCCCCCTTCCTCCCCCTTCTTTCTTTTTTCCTTCTTTCCATCCTCCCTCCCTCCCTTTCTTTCCTTCTTTCCTTCCGTCTTCCCTCCCTCCCTCCCTGCCTGGTAATACATCCCTGGTCTACTCGTAGGGCACCGTTCCCCAACCTGGCACCCTTCAAAGCTCTTCAACTGCAACTCTCAAGAGTACCCCAGCCAGGTGGTCCAACTATACGGGATGAGAAGTTACGGAGGTTGCAGCCTGCTGGGGAAGATGGTCCCAGTAGTAGAGAAAAGCCATCTCCTTGCTTCCAGGCCTGGGTTCCAAAGAAAAGGTGATGAATTTAGGAGGATCTCAGCTGGTTTCTGACCAGAAATGGACAGGGATGGATTCTCCTTGGAACATGGACGCCTATTCTTGTCTCCACCACTAATCTTAAAACAAGTAGATTTATTTTTTCCAAGTCTCTTTCTCGGGTGTCCATTGTCCTCCCTGATCAAAGCTGGTTTGCACGTCTTCTAGGATGGTGGACAGCTGTCTCCAAGTTGAGCAAGAGGACCATTCCTAGTGCAGCCCCCATAGGAGCTGATCAGTTCCATCTTTCTCCTCCCTGTCTTCCCCAAAGGATCTCCTGTGTTCCTTGAGGACCAGGAAGAAAAGCATGTTCAGATGTTCAAAAAAACATAATCCTTTCAAAGCAGCCCTCTCCGGTCACATGGGAGACGTCAACTCGGCCTCCAGGTCTTGCTTTGAAGGTTCTGGATCTGAGGGAGAGCGATTGTGGAAGTCTATCAGGATGTTGTAGATGAACATCCCAACAAGGCATCCAAGGGTTGGGGCCACCAGCGGCACCCACCACCAGCAGTTGCCTGCTCTGAAAAAAAAAAAGGAAGTCCAGATTAGCAGTAGACCCTAAGCCAGGATATCCCAACCTTGGCCACTTGGAGATAGGTGGACTTCAACTCCCAGAATTCCCCAGCCAGCTAGCTGGAGAATTCTGGGAGTTGTGAAGTTCACATAGGTCTCAACCTTAAAGTCCACATGTGTGTCTCAACCTTGGCCACTTGAAGGTGTGAGGACTTCAAATCCCAGAATTCCCCAGCTAGCTAGCTGGGGAATTATGGGAGTTGGAGTCCGCACGCTGAAGTCCACACAGGTCTCAACCTTAAAGTCCACATGTGTCTCTCAACCTTGGCCACTTGAAGGTGTGTGGACTTCAACTCCCAGAATTCCCCAGCCAGCATGGCTAGTTGGGGAATTCTGGGAGTTGAAGTCCACACACTGAAATCCACACGGGTCTCAACCTTAAAATCCACACATGTGTCTCAACCTTGGCCACTTGAGGTTGTGTGGACTTCAATTCCCAGAATTCCCCAGCCAGCATGGCTAGCTGGAGAATTCTGGGAGTTGAAGTCCACACCTCTTCAAGCAGCCAAGGTCGAGACACACTGCCTTCAGCCATGACCTCTGCAGTATTGGTTAGCCTTCTGCTCCAAAGTTAGATAACGTCATGGTTCCTAGCTGGCCCAGGGCATTGTGGGAGTCCATTTTTAACCCTGTAATAAATTGGAAGGTTAGTTTGAAAAGTTGCCTGGACCCATAGAAGGTTGAGCCCTGCTCCTGGCAATTTTGTGGACATTTCTTTGTATATTTAACTTATTTATTTAAAAGATGTATATCTGACCAGCCACAGCAACTCTGATTATAAAACCTAGACCTATCAAACAATCAGAAAACAGTAAGAACAATAAAATAGGTTGCCAGTATTTTCTCTCAGGTTTATTTTTTTGTTTAAAAAAA